CTAACAACACCTAACAGAGTAGGACAGTGAGAAGCATTGCCACATCTTGAGAACACCTTCCCCCCACCCCTCCCTTCTTCCCGGGCTCAGCTCTGCTCCCGATATCTCTACCTCCTCCCCCAGTGGCGCAGGGGCAGGGAATGGGGGGTGCAGTCAGCTGCTGCCACTTCCTTCATCTTCGGTGAGGGGAGTGTCCGAAACTTGTTCCTCCTACTCCATCGTGGTCCCCCTCTCACAGCAGACAGTCTTCCACAAACTTTCTCCAACATGAGTTCCTCCCATGGGCTGCAGCGTTCCCCACACTGCTCCGTCATGGGTCACTAACTTTCTCCGACTGGATTCCCTCCCACGGCTGCAGCCCTTCCCGAGCTGCTCCGGCGTGGGACTCCCCCGCATGCTGCAATCCTCCCAGCGCTGAATTACAGCAGCGGGGCTGCCTTTTCCCATGAGACCCCGGCCTTCTTCCGAGCACAGAGCCTTGATCATTTAAGCAGGAGCAACAGGCCATAAATCAGTGTCTGCTCCACCGTAGATCTCCATGGTGGCAGGGGGGGGCCGCCCTGCCGTCTCACCACAGGATACAGGGGGGTCTCTGCTCCGGCACACCTCCCCCCTCCTTTCTTCCTCCGTTCCTCCACTGACCTTGGTGTTCACGCAGCTGCAGCAACTCCTCCTCACAAGTCCCACTGCCCGTCACCACGTCCCTTCTTAAATACGTTATCGCAGAGGTGCAGCTGATGGGCTCAATTTCCCAAACAGAAGTGGAGCTGACTTGGAGCTGGGGGAGCTTCGAGAAGCTTCTCAAAGGGGGCCGCCCCTATAGCCCCCTCCCCTGCCACCAAAAAACTCCACCACTCACTCAATCCAGGACACCTTTAATGACTGAAGAAGGAAAGAGAGAGATGGGAGAGGGCTGGGGCTGGAACAGGCGGGTGCGGGTCGCATGTCCCACGGGTTGTGCCCCACAGCTTCTCTGCCCAGCTGTCAGAAGCGGCCGGGGGGGTGTGGGGCACTCTGCCCCGTGGGGTCCCTCAGGGCTCTGGCTCGCTTGGTGGGCACGCTGCTGCCGTCGGATGCTCTGCGCTTGCTGCTGCCCACCGCTGCGCTGTCCCTGTGCGGCAAGTGGGTCCAACCCCCCCGGGGCTGCCTCCGCAGGGCCTCCCCCACCAGTGGGGCCCTGAGGGGCGGATGACACTGGGGGGCAGCCGGGGGGCTGGCCGGGGGGCTCAGCAGCGGGATGCGCAGGGGGCTCAGCAGGGCACTCTCCAGAAGACCCTGCGGGGGATCCTTCCAGGGACTCTCCGCAGGACGGGCCTCTGAAGTCTCCTCGGAAGTCTCCAGGGAGCTCTCCTCCTCAGCAGCCTCCGAGGGGCTCGGGGGCAGCCGGGTGGGGAGGTCTGCTGCCACCCCACCCTGCTGCCCCTTGGGGTCCTGCGAGGGGGAGGCTGCCACCCCCCAGAAGGGGTCGGCGTCCCCCAGCATGGCCGCTGCCAGGCCGACCTTGGGGCCGTTGTCCTGCACCCCATCCTCCAAGAAGTCGGGGACTTCGCCGACGGAGGCGGTGCTGGCGAGGCTGTGGGGGACATCGGGGAAGGTGTTCTCGCCAGCCACCATCTCCACTGTCGCCGCCTGCTCCTTGCAGCCGCCCTCTGCCCTGTGCTCCGAGAGGTGGGGGAGCTCGTTGAGGGAGGTGGTCAGGTTGGGGACACTGGGGACAGTGTCCTCACCATCCCCCAGCCCCGCCACCACCGCTCGCTCCTTGGGGCAGCTGCCCCCTCCCACATACTCGGAGAGGTGGGGAAGCTCATCAAGGACCTCGACACTCAAGCGGGGGACATTGGTGGTCAAACAGTTGTCCATGCTGTCCCCTGGCTGTGCCACCACCGCTTGGTCCCAGGGGCCGTTGCCATCCACCATGTCCATGGAGAGGTCCGGGAGCTCATTGAGGAAGGCGGAGCTGGCCAGGCTGTAGGGGAAATCAAAGACATCGGGGACCGTGTCCTCGCTGCCCCCCAGCCCCGCCACCGCTGTCTGCTCCTTGGGGCAGCCGCCTGCCCCCACGTACTCGGAGAGGTCGGGGAGCTCACTGAGGAAGGCAGCCAAGCCAGGGTCATCGGGGCCGGTGTCCTCGCTGCCCCCCAGCCCCGCCACCGCTGTCTGCTCCTTGGGGCAGCTGCCCTCTGCCACATAGTCCGAGAGGTCGGGCAGCTCTCGGAGGAAGGCGGCCAAGCTGGGGCTGTCGGGGCCATCGGGGACAGTGTCCTCACTGTCCTCGGTGTGGAGCCAGGCGGTGGTGTCCTCTGCCTGCTCAGGAACGGCCTCAGCGAAGGCGGCTGGCCCCTGCTCGGGCAGGTCTGTGCACTTCCCCGGAGCTGCTGGGGTGGTCACCACTGCTGAAAAAGCAAGCAAAGACAACCAGTCCCTGGTGATGCAAGCTCTCCTCGGCTTGGCCGCCCACCTACTGGCCCTGCCACCCCCTAAAACTCACCCTTGGGCTGTGTGGTGGTTCCACTGGTCGGCGGAGCAAGGGCAGGGGGGTGGGGGGTGGCAGCAGGGACGCTGTCCTCAGTGGCCACCACATCCTTGTTGGAGGCCTCTGATGGCTTCTGGGCGCTGCCAGGGAGGGTGTGGGGCACAGGGGGGCCCTGCACCCAATGCTGAGTTGTGGGGTGGCAGGGTGTCGGGGGGCCGGGGTGGGCAGGGACGTGCCACAGGCAGGAGCCCGTGGGGTACAGGGGCCCCCCCTGGAGCACAGCCCCTGGCCCCAGCCCCATCGGCTGGTGGGGCAACAGCATCCCCAGCACCAGCTGCTGTCCCCAGCTGTAGGCAGGGGGACAGGGAGCAGCCACAGGGGAGAACTGCACCCCAGGGGGGATCTGCACCCCAGGGGGGAGCTGCACCCCGGGGGGGAGCTGCACCACGGGGGGAAGTGGCACCCCAGGGGGGAGCTGCACCCCGGGGGGGAGCTGCACCATGGAGGGGAGCTGTACAATGGTGGGGAGCTGCACGCCAGGGGGGAGCTGCACCCCGGGGGGAAGCAGCACCCCGGGGGGAAGCAGCACCCCGGGGGGGAGCTGCCCCGGGACCCCCATGGGCCCTGGCACCCCCTGCCAGACGCTGGCCTGTGGCAGCTGGGAGGTGACGGGGTGGAGCTGGGCGGGCTGGGAGGACACCGGCAGCCCTGGGACGGAGAGCAGCGTGCCGGCAGGGACCGGTGGCGGCATGGCCGGAACACTGAAGCTCTGCAACCCTGTCTGCCGGGGGGGTTGGAACGTGCCCCATTATGGCATCACCTCCTAACGACATCACACACGCAGGGGCCGGGACCGGGACCAGCTGTGAGCCCCTCCACGGGCAATGGGGTCCTGGTCCCCCCGGCCCCCTCGCTCCATGGCCGCCCTCAGCCTTCGCTCAGCCACAGCCCAGGTGACACCCACCCTGTGCCTGCACCCTGCTGGGGGCTGCTCTGGGCAAAACCAGCCCTGGGATGCCCCCGCAGCTCATTAATATTATTTAGCCTGGATAGGGAGCTCCCCGGGGGGAGGCCCCAGCTGCCCTTGCAGCAGCCCACGCAGGAGGAAGCTGAGGCCCAGGCTCGCTCATGCCAGTGAGGAGGCCACAAATCCTCTGTCACTGCCGTGCCTGCGGCCAGTTTGGAGGGGGGGAAGGGGCTGCCTGGGGCCGAGGAGAGGGGACCCCCAGGGGGGACGGGGGGCCCCGTCCTGACTCCTCACTGGCTTCACTCCCGGGCAAGTGCTTCTCCTCTGCGCCAGGACGGAGAGCACAGCGGGGGCTGGAGAGCGTCCCCAGGAGCTGCATGGGCTCGGGGGGCATCCCTGAAGTGGGGTCTGTGGGAGCTGTTCGTGTTACATTGTGAAATTTTAGTCTATGTTTTTGAACAACTGAAGACATAACAGGCACTGGTTCGAGGGTCTTTCTGAGAATGTTTTACTAGTGTAGGCTTAACTGCTGCCTGTGGCATGATAGAATTCAATAGACCGGAAAAGGAAAAAGATAGGAGTTCCCCATTCCTTGTGGAAAACCTGCACTTCAGTATTAGTTCTCAATAAACCCTGCAGTCCATTACTGACCTGCGGCCTGGGGACTTCATTCCTGCGAGCTGCTCCCACGGGTGGCTGGGAGGGAGGAGTGTGGTCGCAGTGGAGAAGAAAACCACAGGACTGTGCTCTGAATCCATGTTTTCATCATCATTCAAAATTGGGTTTGGTCTGACAACAGGGAGAATAGTATTAAAATCTCACCCTTCCCAAACTAATTTGGATACTATGTCCTGTGGTTTAAGATAATACAAGTAACCAGTTTTCTCAGTTTTTATCGTCCACTTTGTCATGGTAAAAACTTTTGTTTCACTAATTTGAGCAGTTTGTTTTTTTCTAGACAAAGTAGTGGGTTACATTTATGGCTGATGGTTCAGATTGGTGTTTTTCTCTGGGTTTTGTGGGGTGTGGTGAGTTTGGCATTTTTCAGCTCCTTGACAGGAGGGGCAGAGTTCATGGTTCAGGGCTCATATGCCCGTGCTCTATTTTGACAGACAACGATACTTTGTTCGCAAAAGCATAACCATGTGCATTTATACGCGATTAGACATTAACTGATTACTTTACAAACTACACTGAAAAGAAGCTTCCCGTAGTGATGCTTCCCTCTCAGATAAGCATAACTTTTTAAAAATTCCCTGTTAGCCGAAAACTGACAGCTTCCCCCTTCAACTTTTAAGCACTTGTGAGCATCTGACAAGGGTCCCTCTCTGAGATATTCTGGAGCAGTAAGTTGATCTCAAGTGGGTTTGGTTGTTTTTGTTTCTTCTCATTAACCACACAGGCACTCTTAAGCTGTCATAGGTTTGGATTTTGTTTTGAACAAATACCATTACACTAGGTTGGAAATGCCTTTTTCAGTGGCACTCGGAGGATATAGTTCAGACTTTCAGGATACAGTAGAGGTTAACTATTGCAATATTTTGATGGTAGAACTTGAATATGTGCTTGATTTTTTGCGAACAGATTGATGAGTCTTCTGCATCAATTTCTCTGGCGCAGCTTATTAAGGTATATTCTTGTCAAATACTTAAAATATAACAAGTGTTTGCTTTGTATTTTTAAATCTTATACTGTGATCTGTAGCTGGATAACTGTTGTAATGTGAACAAAACTTAATTTTTAATAATTTACAGTACTTGTTTTAACTTTAAAATGTGCGCATATTTTGTTACTGTCTTGTAAAGATTAGTTCCCAGTTTGGGAAGATAGAAGGGGAGTAACTTCTCAGCCACAACGTACTGTTGCAGTATTACCTTCAGAACACAACACTTCAGAAGCTGTTTTGCTGTTTCTCAGATTTTTCCTTAATTTTGCACTGGAAACTAACAGAATTTTCACAGAATAATTTAATTTGCTGTAAGTTGTGAACAGCCAAAAGAGAAGCGTTCCTGTACCATGCACAACTGCATGGCTATTTTCTAATTTCTAGCCACTGCATAGATCCATTTGTGGAACGCTGCACAGTTTCATGTAGACAGTGGACAACACAATCTGATTTGTTTGAATGCAGGCTGTGGAAATTGTGTAAATGTACCTAATTGTTTGTAGGAACATACCACGTGTACGTGTGGCATATTAGCAGATGTGACTTTCTGAAGCTGTTGTAAAGCCATGTTTTGCTATGGAACTGCTTGCATTATTTGCTCAACGCTGTGTAACTTTGCCTGGGAAAGCACTAGTGATTGCACTGTGTGAAAAGGAGGAGTGCTAGCCAGGGAAATTACTAGTTTTTAAAGTGACAAGGATTAGAGAAGGTAGGGCCCAATGCAGAGGAACTAGTTCTTTCTTCTGAAAATAAAGGCTGGAGTTCATTACCAAGAAAGAGAAATCTCCTCTCCCTCCCAATGCAGAATTAAATTGTGTATATTTGGGAAGACAAAAAAACAAACAAACAAACAAACAAACAAACAAACAAACACACCCAATTAGTTTGGAAGGTAGCCACCAAAAGAAATTGGTCTCCATTAGTGCTGTCCCTAAACGTACCCTTGGTTCTGTAAACTCATGTGAAGTTTTACTCTAAAATGTGAAATGCTGTCAAAGTGGTGTACGCATTGAAGCTTTCGAGAAAATTTAAGTGTTTCAGAAAAATGCAGGAACATGGCATAAAGCAGCTCAAAACTGTTACTTATTCTAACCTCTTCAGTGCAGGCTGGTTTAGCGTGGAGGCAACGTGTTGCAAAAAAGTTTTCTGCATTATTATTACTATGTATGAAATGCTTTATTTGAATTTTGGTCTATTCCTAGTAATGCTTAGTCATTTTGGGACGTGTTTTGTAAATGGTTTGGGTTCAAACAAATCAGTCGAGTGTCTGTAAAGTTTTCTGTAAATGTTAATGAAAGTTATTTCATGGATGTCAACCTGGATTATGTTACAGATGAGAAAAAACTGTGTCTATGAAATGGCCATTTAATAAACTGTTGAAACTAGCTGGTTACTTTTGTGGATGAATGCATATAAAAACAGACACACCAGTGGTTGATCTGAGTGACAGGTTCCTGAAGGTCCAAATCATTTACAGTCGCTCCCTTAGGCCCTGCTTGTGTCTGCACTAGTGTGTAATAAAAACATTTGAACAAACACTACTGAAAAAATAATCAGCTGGCTTCAACAATGTGACGATCTCATTCTGTGTAAGGTTTCTGTTACAATTTGCATGTTAAAAAGACACAGTCAACTGGAGAAGAACTGCAGGTTGTGCTGACTGCAGTTAAATCCCTTCATATGAAGAAGTTAGTAGGCAGGGGACGTGCCGTTTGGCTGCCGACAGCACGTGACGGTCAAATTTCTACCGAAAAGAATTTTTCCTGAGGCATTATAAGAAGCTTGATTCCTTTTAAAGCTTCTGTGTCTGAAGCCAAATTTCAGCAAGCAACATCTTCCCCAACTCTTAAGTTGTGTGTCCCTTTAATGCTGGAAAATGTAAATAATGATACTTGCATAGAACTCTCTCAACTAAATGTACAGTGAAGACCTTCCCCTTCAAATAGTCTGGAGCTTGAGAATCAGTTTAAAACTACTGGATAATAATTTTTTTTTCTACACATAACTTCAATCCACTTGGAAGAAAACTGGACTGGTTACGCAAGACTTTATGTAAGGTACAAACAGAGCCTAAGGTTTTGAGTGCCCAAGAATGCTCTTTTCAAGTAGGTTAAGAGGCACATAAACACCCCGTCATGGCATAAGGACTCCCCAGAACACCTTCAGGAGAACTATATTTTATATAAGCAGCTGTATTCATGCAACCTCAGCTAGGCTGGTGCTGCTCTTTACAGGATTAGCTGAGTGGTGTTGTCTTCAGCTGTGCGGGCTTAGATGTGTTCCTAATGTGTGTGTCAAATAACTGCCTGTTAAACAGACTGCCAATCTGGCTGAAGCCAACGCTTCCGAAGAAGACAAGATAAAAGCTGTGATGATACAGTCTTGCCGACAGTATGATCCAATCAAGTAAGTGTTGACAATGTCAAATCTGTTCTCTAAAGGCTATGGAAAAATTGTAGAGATGTTTGTTTGAACAAGAGTGACACATGCATACCTTTTTCTTTTTTTTCCCCAAAAAATTTTAGTTACATGAAGAAATCCTTGGGTCTACCTCCACCATCATATACTTGTTTTCGTTGCGGAAATCCTGGCCACTATATAAAGAACTGCCCAACAAATGGGGTAATATGGTGGGGGACTTCTGGTGTTACTTTGTTTTTAATTGTTGTGCCTCGGCAGTTATGTGACAAATACATGAATATTCATCTTGACAATTGTTCCTCTCGGGGTGAAATACAGAGGTTATATGGCAATGGTGCAAAGCCCTTCAAAATCCAAGGGAAAGATGGAATTGTCAACATGAAATTTTCTTTTTTTCTACGTCATAGACATTACATGTGCCCACAGATCTTCCGCTGTGAACTTGAATGCATATCTTTATATATTTCAATATTGCTGGAATTTTTCTGTTAGAAAGTTCAAAACACTGCTCAAGCCTTTGGAGCATCCTGGCTATATTCATCAAGCAACCCTTAGGCTAAGTTAAAGGGGAGGATTAGAGGCTTTTGCTGCTCAAAATAATCAATGAAATGTCATTGTAAGTGTGGGTCTTAAGATGAGATATGTCCGTATCTCTTTTCTTATCAGGACAAAAAATTTGAGTCTGTTCCCAGAATTAAAAAGAGCACAGGAATTCCAAGGAGTTTCATGGTGGAGGTGAAAGATCCCAATACGAAGGGTGCTATGCTGACCAAGACAGGAAAATATGTGATACCAACTATTAATGCGTAAGTATGGAATTACTGGGACTGACCAAAAAGTGAACGAGAGAAGCCGTGTGTAAATGCCTGAGTGACAGTGCAACCAAGTTGGCCATCGTCTGTAATTACGGGGGAGGAAGCACTGTCATCGGATCTTAACCTTGAAATCTGTGACACTTTCTAATATTAAAACAGGGCGCTCCTGCTGTTTGTGTCCCTGGAAATCGGTTAAGCTGCTGGTATGCTCAGAACCTGTACTCCTACAAAGCATTTCAGTAGTGTTTACAGTGGAGTCGTTCCCTTTGAAAGCTCCTTTTGCTTCTGGTTTACGTTTCAAAAGCTTTTTGAAAAATTTACCATAGAGCTGTTGGACTGAGATGTCCTTCCCCTCTGGCTTTTACCAAAGCCCACGTGTGAAACAGACTGACAATTTCCTGTTGCTATAAATGAAGAGAATACTCCTGTGTGCTGACAAGAGTGGCTGTTTTAAAATGCACTTGGAAGCACTTCTGATTTTCTGTCATGGATCTCCTTTCATAGAAGCTGTGACACGGACTTCCATTTATAAAACATAATTACTCAGAGACTAACTTTACCCCGAGCCTGCAATTTACATTCACCCTCTGGCAAAGGAGAGGTGGGATTCATGTCACCTGATTTCTAGCTGTCAAAAATGATTTTTCCAGTCTGATCTAATTTCTTAGATGATCCAACAAACGGGAAAGTTCTGCAGAAGGAAGGTTGTTCCCCCCCTCCCTCTTCCAGTGTTGTGACTCTAGAAGAGTAGTTTAAACTAAATGCCTGTGGTTGTGAAGGCTAATGTGGAGTGAGAATTCCATCGATCATCCTCCTTTCATAAAAGCCAAAGCTTGGAGAAGTTTTCCTTTATCCATCTTTAACTTTTTTCTTTTTCCTTCCCCACCCACCCTCCAGGGAAGCTTATGCTAGAGGAAAGAAGGAGAAGCCTCCCTTCTTACCAGAGGAGCCATCCTCTTCCTCCTCAGACGGTGATCCTCTTCCAGAGGAGTTGATATGTCTCATTTGTAGAGATATCTTGACTGACGCCGCTGTTATTCCCTGCTGTGGAAACAGTTATTGTGATGAATGTAAGTGTTCCTCCCATGTTTGTTAGCTCAAAGCACCACATCTGATCTTCTGAAAGCAGAAAAAGGAGATAACAAAATTAACTTTGCTAACAGCTCTATTTAATACTTAACTATACCCTGATTGGGGAAGAACCCTGCTCATAGAAATGAAGAAAAAAAAGAAGCAGAAAGCTTCTTTTTTTTTTTTTTTTTTTTGTGCAGGTGATTACAGTATTGGATATCAAATGCATTTAGCTTGTCCACAGCCTTTTCTCTCATGCAAAACTCTATGGCCACCTCGGGTGACTTCCTGTGATCTGCAACAAATGGCTAGTTAAGCATGTGATCCACATTCTCCTCCATGGGAGAGCTGGTTAAAGCCTTCAGGACTTGAACATACTAATGACTGAGATGCACTTTACTCATTAACCCTGAGGTTGGTGACTTCGCACTGTACTAGATAGTGGAAAAAAGACTAGTCAGAACATCAAGACACAGCCTACTCTACATCTTCAAATATTACAAGAGTGAGCTGTCAAAACTGCATAGTGTTTTGCTGCGCACTATCAATTTTTTACACTACTGAACATTTATAGATTCAGGCTCTCAATTCAAGACCATATTCACCATCAATCATTTCTGTGTTTTATAATCGATTAGAACCAACAAAATTTCCTTAGTTTGCCCATGAACTATTCTGATGATTCTAATTATTCACAGGTATTAGAACAGCATTACTGGAATCTGAGGAACATACATGCCCAACATGTCACCAGACAGATGTTTCTCCTGATTCTTTAATTGCCAACAAGTGCCTACGCCAGGTAACAGGAAGATTTTTACATCAACTGTTTGTAAGAAAAGTCTGTTTGTAAAAATCTGAAAGGGAAGAAGATACTAATTTACATCTCCTTAAGCAAGGCTGACTGAATAAAACTAGATTTATTTCTCAAGTACATTATCTGTTGTTACAGAAGCATACAACTCTTTAGAGACAATCTGGCAAATTCAGGTCACATTTTTGTTTAACATGATTGCCTCAGTTTGGTGTTAACACTGAAGTACTTTAAATACAGATACTCTGAGTTACCAGTCATTAGTATCAGTGTTTAATGTGATGTGTTCATACAGCACAGATCGCTTTGGGCTGGAAGAGACCTTTAAAGATCATCCAGTCCCAACCCCTTCCACCAGCCCTGTCCAACCTGGCCTTGAACCCTTCCAGGGAGGGGGCAGCCACAGCTCCTCTGGGCACCCTGGGCCAGCGCACAGGGAAGAGTTTCTGCCTTATGTCTAATCTGACTATATCTGTATGTTGGCTTATTTTAGGATTGATACTATTTATGGGAACACAGGAGTCATTTTACTCTGTGGAGGCTTTTGTCTGTATATCTCCTGGAGGTTCCTAATACCATCTTGTAAATGTTTTTCTGCCTTCAGGCTGTGAACAACTTCAAAAATGGAACTGGCTACACAAAAAGGCGCCGTAAGCAGATTCAGCAGCAACAGCAGCAGCAGCCGCCACCACCTCCGCCGGCGCTCATGGCTCCAACACCTCCTGCTGCTCTGGTGACGGCCTCTGAACTTGCTAAATCTTCCTCTGACAATCAGCACTTTGTTGGAAGAGAACATAAGTTTTCTTTCAACATATGCGTTGATTCTCATTCTTTGGTGGAGCTTATTTTCCAACTGTTTGCATTTATTCACCAGGGCTATCAGGTTCCTGTTCTCAAGCAGCCAGCATTACCAAGTCTTCTGGGCCCCCAAGGACAATCAATACCCACAGCTGGTAAGTAACTGCAACTTTAGAATTTCTTCTAAAAAATTGTCTTCAGATAAAGTGAATGGGATTTTTTTCTTTTTCCTCTCCCCACGCCAAAAGTTCATCCAATGAGAGCCGGTGGAATTCGCTCAGCAGGTGCCAGTCCAAGCTGGGAAATGTAAGTATTCTACAGAAATGAAACATATTATACATATTGTAAGCTGTTAAATGAGGTGGTAATGCGTAAGTTATAAAACAGCTGCATTATCATGAAATAAGTATGCACAGATAGTTGTGGAGAATACAAGTGGTAATTAATTTTTAAATGGCTTCATTTGGCCTAACAAAGGGGTTCTGTGCTTGCATTAAGGTTATTTAAAATAAAACTCCAGTGCGTGACTCAAAGAGGACTCTGAAAAATTAACTCTTTTTGAGGAAACCATAATTACATATCAAAATTAAATAAAATTAAAAGATCGGATGGAAAGCCAGCCTTTTGATTGCTGGCTGAATAGGGCTGAAGAAATTGATTTCCCAATAGAAATCAGCCTCCAATAGATTTTTTTAGCAATCTAATTAATATTGACAGAGCAAATTATTGGAGGAGGCAATGCTGTTATTTTATGACAATTTTGACTGTCTTCAGTTTAGTCATCTCAAATAGCCAAACTGTTTCACCTGGAGAGAGAGGATTCTTTTATCCATTATTGCAATGTCAAGTTATTCCTTCCTTTTGGTATGTATTTGTTGTAGAGAGATTGTAAGGGTGCACTGTGTTTATAAAATTGTAAAGATCAGTGAAAACAAAAACCAGGATCCATCTCACAGATTGTCTAAGACCTCAAATTCAGTAAGAAAGAAAATAAAAAGTCAGGGACAAGAACAGGCCAAATACATCATCACGAGGCAACAACACAGGAAACGTGTGGAAGAGGTTAGAAGTTTGAGAGCAGATGAGTTAATCCCTGTGCAGTACGTTGAAGATCAGAAGTGTGAAGTATTAAGTGTATCAAGGAGTGGCAGAGGAGCAGTGGGCACTTGGCTCGTGGGAGATGGGAGTCTCTTTTAAGCACAGGCAGACTCCATCCACAGTTGCAAAGCTGAGTATACGGAGAGAAGACTGAGGGAGCTGCTGGGGGTGAGGGTGTGGAAGGAAGTATGAGGATCGAGAAGTGAGTGTAGTCTCAAATGAACAGAAAGCAGGGAGGGAAAGTGCTCAAGGTGAGAACAAGAAGTGCTTGCCACCATGCTCCTGCTTCGTTCCTTCACCTTTCAAATCAGAGCAGAGTGTAACAAACAGTGATAGGTGTTTTGGGGTTTCTTTAGAAGTCCAGACTGAGGACGCCACACAGGGAACATAGCCAAAGGACTCAGAACCCAACAGTACCAGCACCAACACCGGTCTTTGTGCCTGTGCCTACACCTCCCTTGCACCCTCCACCACCCCACTGCACCTCCTCTCCCACCGCGGGTACCACCACCACCACCATTTCCTCCTCAGTACACACCTGGTCAGCCACACTCTGCTGAGTGCACTGTCCCCCCTCCAGGATATCCCCCAGCCCCTGTAAACATGTCATCAGCTTGGGTGACAACAGCAGCACCAGCGGCTCGTTCAAATCCCACCCCAACGACACGAGCGCCTCCTTTACAGAATCACAGAATCACTGAGATTGGAAAAGGCCTTTAAGATCATCAAGTCCAACCGTTAGCCCAACACTGCCAAGCCCACCACTAAACCACGTCCCCAAGCACCACATCTACACGTCTCTTAAATATCTCCAGGGATGGTGACTCCACCACTTCCCTGGGCAGCCTGCTCCAATGATCAACAGCCCTTTCGTTGAAAAAATTTTTCTTAATATGGATCCAAATCTCCCCTGGAGCAACTTGAGGCCATTTCCTCTTGTCCTATCCCTTGTTAGCTGGGAAAAGACACTGACACTCATCTCACTGCAACCTCCTTTCAGGTAGTTGTAGAGGGTGATGAGGTCTCCCCTCGGCCTCCTTTCCTCCAGGCTAAACAACCCCCAGTTCCCTCAGCCACTCCTCACAAGACTTGTTCTCTAGAGCCTCCACATCTTCATTGCCCTTCTCTGGACACGCTCCAGCACCTCGATGTCTTTCTGGCAGTGAGGGGCCCAAAGCTGAACCCAGTATAGGAGGTGCAGCCTCACCGGGGCCGAGTGCAGGGGGACGGTCACTGCCCTGGTCCTGCTGGGATTCCTGACACCAGCCAGGCTGCTCTCGGCCTCCCTTCCCTAGGGAGGAGTTTTCCAGAGAACAACAGAGACTTAAAGTGGAGTAGGCATTTGGCTCAATGAAGTTGCGCTGGTTTTCATGTTTATATTTTGATAGCGTATCGCACTGCAGTTACACTGCATCTGACATGAGCAAAAATGGCATCGTGTTCCTTCCAATATACTTTCTCGTTGCAGATGGCAAATGTGCAAAACTAAAACAAGACAAATGTAATTCTAAAACTTTCTCTAAGCCTTGTAGGAATTCTAAACTGCTTTTGCTTACATAGGATGTCCACCTTTTGCATTTGCATGCAGTATGCATTTTCTCATATTGGCCATGTTTTGTTTCTTGGTGTCTTTTGGTAAAAAAGGTCAAATTATAATTGGAATAAAGGTGAAACTTCTTTTAACAGGGAAAAGAAAAAGTCCAAACTCTATGAATTTACAAATCATTCTGCAAAGGAACTGATGGAATATAAAAAGATTCAAAAGGAGCATAGGCGTTAATTTTCCAGGTAACTGCCTTCCCTGTCTGTAATGGAGCAGCAGATTGGCTAGAAGAATCAGGAGGAGATCCACTCCACCTCTCTCTCGTTAGGTGGACTGGGTGATTCAAGGGATTAGCAGTGATAGGAGTTCCATACGTAGGTTAGTAGCTCCAATATGGTAGAGATTACAGTTGACCGACAGCGATAATTTGGCAGCAGTTCTTCCAGAGCAGGTGTGTCTTTCGGTAAAGCTTCTCTGCAGTGACGTCCTTTACCTCCTGACAGCCGTGAGGAGGCCAGAAACTGAATAGGTGCAGCTGCTGGATTTTTGTGTGTCTCCCTGCTCTGATTGTAACCATTACCACAAAGCACTTCGGAGGAGATATGGGAGAGAAATTGTCTTCATTTCCACTTTTGTTTACCTCATGTGGATACGTGGAGAGATTTTAACCTGGACTGCCAGCTGGTGGCTTTCACTAGTAATTTGTTGACATTTTAATTTTTTTCTTAGGAACTGAAAGGTCACACTGGTTTGTAGAGGAATCTTAAATTGGTAAAGGACTTTGAGAGGAGGCATGATGCCAATGAACATATGTGGAATAACGTGAAATGGCTCTTTAAAAAATAACAAAAGAAAAACTTGTGAAGAAGAAGCTCAGGGTAGCTGATGTTTTTTATCCCCAGAATTCACTCAGGCAGGAGTCTGAATAGCTCTCTCTTAGTACTGCTGTCAGTATCTTTCCTTGAATAATGGCCTCATGGCATATTACTAGATTCTGTGTTTACCAGCTTTTAGATATGACTTTTCTTGAAATACGGGCACTATCCTTGGTTAGAGCTACAGCTACGTGCAAAAATTTGCTAGGGCATCTGTCTAGAAGTCCTGTATGTAAGATTGCAGCACAAGTACTTTGCATCCTGTACAAGGTCCCAAATAAATAAGTAGGGAAGTTAAACAGACTAAGCTGGCACTGTAAAATGGAGCTTTACTGTCTTCAGGTGAAATCGTGTTTTCTTGATATTTGTTACTGTGCTGTAGCCATTAAAACTTGCTCTTTCTGCATCTTACTGCAACAAAAATGATTTGCACCGCAGGTGGTTGCGGAGTAGTGAAAAGTGTACACGTAGCAGTAGAAGCCAGTAACACCACCTTAAATCAGTCAATAGCTCTGGTAGTTCATGTGATAGAAGTAAGTGGAAATAGATGTGCCCTTCCTGTATATTTTCACACTAACGAAGCAGCAGTTCTGTCTTGTAAGTGGAAACCTTTGCGTGTTGCCAAATTCTTCCGTGTGCAGTAGCATTATGTCAGCATCTGAAAGAAGCTTTGACATGAGCATAGGGAGAAGAAAAAAAAAACAAACCAAATTTGGGAGGGAAAAAATTGGGGAGAGATACTCTTTTGAGTTCATTTCATTTATTTTTACTGTGTTGTGTCTTTCTTAAGGTCCAAGTTTCCCTGCAGTGCTTCATCTTACAGTAGAAGTTTGCATAGCTACTCCGAGGCAAGATCGGGTTCTTCCCGCACTCGCTCCTACTCTCGATCATTTCGTCGTTCCCGTTCTCGTTCCTACTCGCGATCGCCACCGTACCCAGGAAGAGGCAAAGGGAAGAGGCACAACCATCGTTCTAGGTCAAGGCCACGTGGTTATGATCAAGGGTCAAGGTCAAGATCACCCACATCCAGAAGGTCCCATTCACGGTCAAGGTCTCCAGTATTTAAAGGCCAGCCTCCCCCTAAACTTAGAAGGAGAGAGGGAGCATTTTAACAGACATACAGAGTTCCACCATATGATATGAAAGCTTCTTATGGCAGATCTGTTGGCTTTAGCGATCCATTTGACAAAGGACTGATGCAGAGAATGGGAAAGGAACTATAGGGAAAAATTTTACAAGGGCTGTGCTGTTGACACTCAAACTTGACCTCCAGTAAACAGAGAGGGCTTTTCTCCAGCTAGGTTTGGTCCACCTGGAACGAGATGGGAGGACTCACCAAATTCTCAGGAATGTAGGGAGAATTATTCTGGTGGGCAGAACTACCAAAATCATCATAGAGCCGGAAATTACGCTGAAAAACCTTCTGGAAGAGAGGGCGATGGCATCGAAGACGCTACAAAATCCAAAGAGAAGACGGTGGAAAAGCCACTGGAAGATGACAGAGGAAAGAAACATAAAAATTACCAGAAGAGAGGACAACAGGAGGAGAATTAAGGATTTCCCAGTCCTGAGTGGTATGGGAGGTGGGAGAAAACCAAGGGAACCAGTTACAGCAGCAGATGTTAAAACGAACTCTCTGTTCCCAAGCAGAGATGATGCCACCCCTGTGAGAGATAAGTTATGGAAGCAGATGCTGTTGCTTTCAGACCAACCTCTGAAAAGGAGAAAAAAAGAGAAGAATAAGCCAAAAGAGAAGAATAAGCCAAACCCAAAAACTGAAGTGACAGAGGAGAAAGTAGAAGTGGCCGTTCCTCCCAAGAAAGACAACATAGTAACTCCAGCTCCAGTTCCCAAGAGCAGGTGGACACCGATCATGAAAAATCTCCTTGACAGGAACCTCCTGTGAAAAAAGTGGAGGAGTAGACAACTTTAATTCCTTTATGTTCTTAATTCATCTTCATATGATCTCTTGTCAGGCATTTTTGAACTTGTGCATGCTCTTTATTTTGAAGAGAAGCACACAGCATCATTTCTCTTTTCTCGGTATCTAGCTACAGCTGCCAACCTTTCCAGAGCAGAGTTATGCTTAAAACTTATTTTTTTTTGTGAGGAGAGAAAGAGCAATCTCAGGAAAATATCTGCCCTGTAACAGTCACATTAAGAAGAAGTGGTAATGACTGCAAACGTGACTTTCGAGTAACTCAGCTGGGCTAATAGATGTTCAAATAAGCTTACTGCCCTCAGACCAAAATCTTATTTGGAACATATAATTAAATGGGCAGCTTGCTCTCTAGATTTCTTATTTGTGAATTCTTAAGCACTGATTATGTATTCACGTAGTGGTTTGGGTAGTCCAACATGTTGGTTAATTCTGACTTGGGGAGTTGCTGTAATTAGATAGCACTTGGTCAGTGCTGTTTTGGTTCTAGTTTGATTTGAGTTTATAATGGCTTTAATCTTCCTAATACAAGTCTTGGGTTTTTTGTTGTTACGTTTAATACAAATATTAAGACATGACTTCAAACAATAAACAACATGTGATAGAAAGAAACCTGATTCGGTATGTCTTTAATTAGATGTGTTGTATATTACAAGCCATGACAGGTCACTGGAAGATAACTTGATTGCTCAGTCCAGTAGACAGCTCCCTTTTACATTTGTTTTCTTTCTTGGATGCATCAAAAAGCTCAAGAAACTAAGGAAAAAGGCTTGAAAGGTAAAAATAAAAATAGACGATAGTTATTAAAGGCATAAACCTAAGAAAATCGGCGTCTTTGGTGAAGAAAGAGCAGAAGGTGGCTGACAAACTCAGGATACAGCAAGTATATTCCTTCTCCATGTTTTAAGGTTTCTCAATCTTTGTAATGAGTCTTGAAAGGCCTCTATGGCTTTTTCCTCCTTCAGCTCCAAAGTAAGCTTTTTATGACTTCATCATAACATTGCTGCCATACAGCTTTGAAGAACAAAGGATTAAGGGTGAACAGTGAACGAGTATTTTTTCAGGAGTGGGGTGGTGGGTGGGCGTTGAAGGGAAGAGCTTCTTCTTGATTCTCTAGCAGTCTTGGTGGACACTGGCAGGAGAAAGCATTTAATTGACTTCTTTATGGATTATTATCCAAGCTGACATAAAACCTAACTTGGAGGAAATCATACACATGCTGCACCCACAATCCCCTTTGCACTAAACTCCAGAGGAGAAAGGAGTCCCTGCTTCAACAGCCGTACAGCTCAGGCAGGTGCTACCAGGGGTCCTCCTGCCCCTCCTTCAGGAGGAGCAGCCCCCCACGGCTTCCACTGGCGCAGGTGTCCATGTGGATGCTCCAAAGCAGGCCTTGGTTCTGCTGTGCAAAAAGGACAAGGCTAAACAAGTTGAATTCCATGAGTTTGTCTTTAAGAATATCTTTAATTCATTTCCTATCCCTTCTGTTATATAGCAGAACACAAGAATGACACAGCAGATGAGAAACTGGCTTGGATGTAATTCAAGTCTTAAAGTGATTAAAAGAAAAAAACCCAAAATAAAGCAACAAAGAAAGAGAGAAAGTGAGGATTTAAAAGACGTGACTCGCTGCCCAGATGTTGTTCATTTCTATCAGTTATCAGTATTTCTGTAAAGCTTGTGGCTGGGGATTGGGACATTCTTGCTAACCCTGGTTTTAAGGCTGCAGTGACATAATACGCAATTCAAGCAAATCCAGCCAAGGTGCTCTCAGGAGCAGCAGTCATGTGCGTTACAGAGCACCTCTATCCCGTGCTGAACAAGGGTGGGGTAAGACAGAACTCCCTTTGGGAAATGCACTCGCACCTTGTTGAAAATGCTGAATGCAAGACCTCGCTAAATTAGCTGCTGGTCTCACTCAAGGCTGAGCAGCTGTCACCTGCCTCTGTGAACACGAAAAATGAAGTCAATGGGGTGGGCTCAGCACACTGCAGAAGAGAACGAGCACTTCAGGCTGAACCTCAGCAAGACATGAGGCACTGAAAACAGATTCTTCAGTGATGCCCATTACCAGAGAGAGCTGCAGGAGTTTCAGCACGTCTCGTGGAGAACGAACGCTCTGTGGGTGCAGGCATGCTGGTATCAGGAAGGAAAGGTGGGCTGTAATGGTTTAATGGTCTTTATTAAGTTAAAAAGGGGAAGCCTAGCAAGGCAGAGCAAAGCTTCGAGTCACCAGTGCCTGGGGAACTGCTTCACCAAGGAGGTGACGCCGAGCACACTCTCGGTGGTCTCGGTCCAGCCGGGATCAGGGCGACGCGCTGAATAATGACAAATTCTCTTCAGTTTGTGAAGGGGGAGCACTGCCAAGAGGCAATGCTGCCATCCTGTATGCAATCCCCCAACTTATTACCTCCTGTTTACATCTTTCATTTCTGTATTTCCCATCCTACCGACCTTCAGATCTAGCCTCTTTACTGGCCACTCGCTCATCCCACGCTCCACAGCTGCTGTTCCGACCTGCAGCTTCTCAGGCTCGCAACAGAGTGTTCCGCACTCTTGCTGCATTTACCCACAACCATCCTTCTAGTCTGAGGGTCAGTTTACAGTTTTGCTAACCACCAATAATTCATTCCCACATATCCCCCTTCCTTGTTTTAGAATTTTATTTTCAAGGTGATTACTGCCGTCCATCACAGTTCGGCCTTCCACACTGTGGACAGGAGGCTTCATGTTCATCGCAGGATGGCAAGTCGGCAGATTTGGTTGAAACAGGGGCCAAATAAGTGAAAGAAGTCATTGAAATCTGTCACGGTTTGATGCGGAAGTCTCAGACACAACATACACAATCAATGTGATCAAGTTAATGCCACTTTATTAAAGGATACACAGCAATTTATACACTAGCACAAAGCGCACGCATTACGTTCTGGTTGCTAATAGGTTAAAGCTGCTTGTTCACACGCCTTGCTCTGCCCTACCTACATTCTGCTTTTACCTTTTGTTATCTTGCTTTTACATTCCAACCTCCTTACCTCTTTGCAACATAGGCAGTTTCTCAAAACCCCAACTTCCTTATCTCTTTCGACCTTGCATATGTCCTTCACAACAGCTGCAGTTGTGAGGCCCCTCGGTCTCCATCGCTCATAATACGCCTATTTGCTTCCAGCTACTCCACAGAACTCTGTGCTTCCAGGGGACAATAAACGACCAAGAGAAACCTATTCCTGCAAGCACCAGCTTGGGGCAGGCTGCTCTGTCACTGGAGAGGTGAGAAGAGCTGAGAAGTGCCTGGTTTGGGGTGGGAAGTGCCTGGGCGAGGGGAACCCCAAAGTTAGCTGAGCTGCGTGACCATGCAGGGTAAGGACTTAAACCAGGGGGTTGTGGTGCACAGCCAGGGATCACGGATTGGAGCAGAAACATGCAGGCAATGCAGAGAGGAGGCTGGTCTGGAACGGCATTTACAGCTCCGTTGCTTGGCCATCCAAGTGACAGGGTGATGATGGGACCACAAAGCAGCATCCAGACGGTGACAGCAAAGACAACTACAAAAAAGGAATTCATGTTCATTGTCTTCATTCTGCAGGTATGATTTGGGGAAAGGCAAAGCTCACCTGGAGTTGGTTGCAAGGAAAGTCAAGAGCAAATTGAAGAGCTTCGGTTGCTCGTGAGAGACCAAGGCTGAACAAGGAAAATGCAGGGCTGCTGCTGAATGGGGAGGGCGAGTGAATAACAGCAGCCAGGGGTGGGGCTGAGGGACTCAGTTTGTCATTACTGAAAAGGTCTCCAGGCCTGCGTGCAAGATGGTCAGGGGTCAGAGCACCTGGCCTGTGAGCAGAGGCCAAGAGGCCATGAGGGAAGGCGGAGGACAATCTCGTCACAGCTCACCTTTCCTCTGAGAATATTCCTGTTCATGGAGAATGAAGAGCCGGGCTCTCCGCCGTGGTGCATGCTGGAAGCACAAAAACAATGGGCAGAAGGTGCAAGAGGAGAGGTTCAGCCTAGACATAAGGAAAAACTTCTTCCCCATCAGCTCCATCAAGTGTTGGAGCAGGTTACCCAGATAGGCTGTGCAGTCTCTGTCCTGGGAGGTTTTCAAAATCCAGATCGTTCAAGATCGAGCTGAAACACCCGGGTGTTTTTAATAAAATGGCAATGTTTTCCCACCATGGCAGAATGTGGAAACTTCCAGGAAGTGCATTAATCATAGGAGAAGAAATACTGATCTCCTTCTGCCCTTGCATTACCCCTCCTCTAGATGTGTTTAATCTCCGTCCCCTTTCAGGTGTTCCCACCTCTCCTGATTAAGTGACCATGGCTAAGGGCATCCTGTCAGCACACAAGCCCTCCCCTTGGCTCTCCAGATTTCCTCCTCGCTCTCTGGTGATTCAGACACCTCTCAACTATCTAGTCGCTGCTTTCAGCTTCAGGGAATTAGACATTTGCCCTATCTCTGAGAATTCTAATCAACTCTAGAGTCAGCTCCTTCATTACGTTTATATCTCTGCATTCCTAACCATCTGTCTAAAGCAGTTAATGTACAAACATGTCTTGTGGATGGTGGACCTCATTAGATACAACTTGGACTTGACATACAGTTAGGCAGAGTGTTTTAGAG